AACAAAAACAAAAAACCAAGCCTACAGAGCAGGCACTGCTATGATCCTCATTTTACATAAGAGGAAATCCAGGCAGGAGAGGTCAGAAAACTTGCCCAAGGTGACACATCTAGCAGGTGGCAAAGCTGGAAGTGGAACCCAGCTGGTGTGGATCCAGAGATCAGACTCTAGGCTAGGGTGACCAGACGTCCTGCTTTTGGCTGGACAGTCCCACTTTTTAACAATTTCTCCCGCGTCCCGTGGTGTTTTAGAAAAGTCTTGATTTTTGGAAAGAAGGCATGAACGGGCGGGAGAACAGGAAGGGAATATACGGTTTTCGGCTGCCATGTGGCTATTTCGCCAGAATATGAGTTTTATATTATTTTTGTTAATTTTATAATGTTAAACTGTAATAACAAATAATTGTTGAGAAGTGATTATTGAGAACTGCTTATCAAAGTTTGCATTGTTGTCAGGCCCTGCCCTGCCCCATCCCCTTACCCCCCCACCTCACCCTCCCACCCTGCCATGTTGTCCTGCTTTACAAATGTTAAAATCTGGTCACCCTACTCTAGGCTGACCTAAGGCCTGGCTCTAGGCTGGTGGCCACACTCACCTCTGTAGCTCCTGGACCTGCTGGGCCAGGATCCGCTGCTCACTCTGGGCCTGGTCTCGGCTGCTCTGCAGCTGCCTCTTTTCTTTCCTGGAGGAGAGTAGGCCCCAGGGACGGGACAGCAGGCAGGGCTGGCAGGGCTGGCAGTCAGCCTCTCCTAATTGCAGCGCAGCATCAGCCCAGGAGGCAGGTGGGGACAGAGTACAGCCAAAGACCAGAGAGGGGAAGCAGTGTGGCAGAAGCGGCCCAGCAGTAAGAGGTTGGGGACAGAGTCCCCTGGCCGAGGTCTGGACCTACCTGAGCCTCTCATTCTCCAGCATGAACTCCTGCAGCATCCCATAGAGGTTCTGCTGGGCCCAGGCCATTTGGGTGCCACTGAGCCCTGAGGCTGCAGGGAAGCAGGAGGTTGCTGGACCCACAGGAGCCCTAGGCCTACCCACATCCCTCTCTGCCCACAGGGAGCTCATACCTTTGCGTTCCATCTGGTCCAGCTGAAACTGCAGGTGACGGTTCTCCTCCTGGAGCTGCAGCATATCAGTCTCTACACGCTGGGGCAGCTTTGCCACAGGGGACTGCAGAGAAAAGGCCCAGAACTGCCCCTTACTGTGGTACAAGTTGTGCACTGCACAAGGGTTCCAGCCATGGGAAGTGAGTGAGGTCTAAAATCAAGCCCATGCTTCACCTGCCAGCCTCACATCTTGGCACAAGGCTGCATCTGCCTGGAGAGGGCACCCTGTCCTAACTGCACCATCCTAAAGATCCCCACTCTGAGCTGGGCTTGGGTCCAAGGTTAGTTCCAAACTCAGTTCTGTCCAAACCTTGGCCCAGATTCTGACCTCAAACAAGACTTGTATCAGATCCTCACTCAGCTCACACTTAGCCATGATACCCTCTGGGATCCTGGCTATACCCTGGTCATATCTAACTCAGACTCCAACCCAACTCCTTCTCTAACCCCAACCAAGACACTAGCTGGGACCCTGATCCCACCTTTCCCAACCATGGCACCATTTCCAGGATTCTAACCCTAATCCCAACTCTGACCCAATTCTGACTTCAATCATGATGTCATCTCAGGTTCCAGCTATGGGCTGATCTCCCCAGCCTGTCCCTTGTGTCTCCCTCCAGTCACCTTGGGGGCCTGTGGCCGGGTGGTGACTCGCTGAGCTCGGCTTGCATATCGCAGGGTGCTGAGAGTTTCAGGAAGACACTGGGCTGAGGGGGACACGCAGGCCACCTGGGGAGGACTCCCCCTGAGTGCTGCTATCTACGAGCCTATTCTTCAGGACCCAGCCTTCCCTGCCATACCCCCCCACCCCGGATACCATGAGGGTCACCCCTCGTCCCCCCAGAGAGTCTGCCAGCAACTTGGTGAGCTTGCTGTCCCGGAAAGGGATGTGGCTCTGCTTTCGCTGTGGGTCCAGCAGCAGGGAGATGCAATGACCTGGGTGGGAGAGCAAGGCCCAGAAATGTTACATGACTTGCCTGAGGCCACTCAGCTGGTACCCTGCAGAGTGGGGATCTCCACCCAGGCCTGTGTGACTCTAAAAACCCATCTCTCCATGTGATTGCATTACTCAGTCAGATTGGTCTCCACCAGCTCACTGGGGCTCCCCAAGGGCAGACATGGCCCTGTTACCCTTGATCCCCAAAAGGGCCTAGCACATAGCATGGGCTTAGGAAGTTTCCAATGAATGGACTGATTGAAAAGGAGTTTTGCGAGCAGCTGTCATGCATACCACCGGGGAATGTGAGACCCCAGCCCTTAAGGATTTCAAAGTCCAATAATCTAGAATGGGAGGTGAGGACACAGGTCCTATTACTGGGCCTCAGTCTTCCCAACAGTACAAGAGACAGGTTGGACGTCTCTGAAGAGTCGTCATCTGCCACTGAGTGTTTCTACTCCCAAATTAAAATATAACTTTATAGACCTGGAGAGTGTATAGACTCATGGATAATTGAGGTTCTGAGAAGGGAGAAGCCAACAGTGGAGCTAAGGCCTCTGGTTCCTGGATCATAGCTCTGTCACCTCATCCATGCACTATAACTCCTCTAGTGTCCCCCACTGTGGACAGGAACAAGCCAGGTGCCACGGAAGGGCTCAGAAAGTCAGAGTAGCTGGCCCCCAGGTCTCACCCAGGGCCAGCAAGCTGCGGTTGATGCTGTTGGCCTCAAGCATCAGCTCCCCACGAGATCCTGTGGCTGTCACCTTCTCGCTGCCAGCCAGGTCTACAAAGCACAGCTTCCCACCAACAGGGGGCTCCCCAGGGCCCACAGGAGGCATCTGCTGAGCCTGGGAGATCAGGACTTCATGGGGACTTGGGAGGGATGGTCCCCATCAAGGTCACAAGGTTCACAAGGCTAAGGTTTTCCATGATCACCCCACATGCATGCCTAAGTTGGTTTATATAACCCAGTGCAGACCCTTGTGGCTTGGTGGCCCTGGGCCAGCTCCTTCCCCAAGCCAGGGCACTCACAGTTCGGCAGCTGATGTAGACAGTGAGCAGGGCATGGCTCCGGCTAGAAGCCTGGTTCAGGGTGTGAGCTGAGCTCCTCCGACGGCTGAGACCTGGGAGGGAAAACATCAGGTGTGGAACTTGGTAGGAAGAATAGGAAGAAAAAGGAACAAAGGAATCCTGAGAGCAGAGGGTAGGCCTGTGCAAAGACAGAGAGGCAGGAAAGTGAGTGTTGGTTCAGGGGGGGCTGGCTCTAGCCCAGATAAGTGAAAGGAGGAATAGAGAGAACTGAGCAGAAGAATAACAGATCTGTATTTTTTTTTTTTTTTTGAAACAGTCTCAATCTGTCGCCCTGGGTAGAGTGTCACGGCATCACAGCTCATAGCAACCTCAAATTCTTGGGCTTAAGCAATTCTCTTGCCTCAGCTTCCCAAGTAGCTGGGACTACAGGAGCCCACCACAACACCCAGCTATTTTTGGTTGTAGTTGTTATTGTTGTTTGGCAGGTCAGGGCTGGATTCGAACCCACCAGCTCTGGTGTATGTGGCTTGTGCCCTAGCTGCTTGAGCTACAGGCCAAGTTGAGCCCAGATCTGCATTTTATAAACATTTTATTGCTGTGCACAGGGAGGGAGAGAGATCAGCTCTCCGTGAAGCAGAGAGATCAGCTGAGAGGTGTGGCATGGCATCCTCAGTGCCTATCAGAGGATGCATGCCCAATGAATATTTGGTGAAAAAATGAATAAGACTGGAACAGAAGGGCTTTATAGCCTAGGCTAAGAGATCTGACCTTTATCCTCAAGGGTGGAGGGTCTGGAGAAGAGGGATGTGTTTTGCAAAATGGAGGAGAATGGATTGACAAGGGAGAGTCTGGAGGTGCAGAGACCTCTGTAGGGAGCCAGGATGAGGCCTGGCTGAGGCACAGGCCTGGGCTGGAGAGGTGGCAGCGGTGGGGGTGGAGGACATCCTTGGGCTGTGCCTTTGAATTGCTGGTATCTTGGTCCTTTCCCCCCACAAGAGTCACTTCTCAAGCCAGAGCTCCAGCCCGCCTGGCCCATACTCAGAGAAACAGCACGCACCCATCTGTAAAAGTTCCATCAGGGCCTCCAGACTCGAAAACTCCACCACCCGTAGTTGTTCCACGTAGAAGCCTCGAGTCTTATTCCAGCGAACAGGGAGAGGTCGGGGAGACCCCAGGCTCAGCAAGTCCCGAACCTGGGAGGTGAGAGAGGAGGGTGAGGGAAAGGACTCTCTGAGTCTCCGTCTCCCCATCCCCCCCGACCTTCCTGACAACAATCCCCAGCTCCTTGGAAAGAAACTCCTTGGTAGCCTCCTGGGCTTTCAATTTCTCCTATTCCCTTACCTGATCATTGTAGATCTCCAGATAGGAGGCGCGGAGGGTGACAGGGGCAGGCAGGTGCTGCACGCGGTCTAACAACCAGGTGAAGGTCCTCTGCATGATGCCAGCCAGGCTGGGAGGTACGGGCACCCCCTCCCCCTGCAGACCAAACCAGCTGAACCTGAGGCTGGTCATCTCCATCTTCACCACAGTAATGATTCCCCTTTGTAGAGCTGGAACCGTACTAAGTTCCCATACAACAGCTCATGTAATTCTCTTAGGTGGTACTAGCCATTTTACAGGCGAAGAAACTGAGAACTCGTTTAAGGGGCCAACACTTGAACCCAAATGCTCCAAATGGGGAAGCCCCTTCTCTTCTCTGGTCCTTCGTGTCCTTGTCTGCGAATCAACTAGGTGGGCAGCACGGTTCCAGCCACTCCTTACTGAGAGTCGCGCTGCCCGCGGCTCCCCAAGCCCACAGAGGCCCGACCCGCGAGGGCTCCGCTGGCGCTCGGCTCACCTGGGGCGGGGGTCCAGTTAGGGTGTAGGTCTTCCCGGAGCCGGTCTGGCCAAAGGTGAAGACCGTGCAGGAGAAGCTGCGGGGGACAGGGGAAGGCCCCGGGCGGCGGCCGGCGGTAGGGGTGGGACGAGAGGTTAGAGGAGTGTGCGACTAGGGGGCGAGGCGTGGTTGCGAGCAGTACACCGCCGCGCTTTCAGCCCGGCCGCGCCCCACTCACCCGCGCAGCGCCAGCTCGCCCAGGCGCCGCACGCCGCAGGCCCGGAACACGTCCTCCTGCGTGCGCGCCCCGTCCAGCACCGCGCCGAAGCGGAAAGCCACCTCGGGGCCCCCTCCCGGAGGGCTCACCTGCGGAGGGGGCGGCGAAGGGGCGGGCACTCGGGGCACCGCGGGCCACTCTGGGGCTGGGGGCACCCTGGAGGGGCAGGGCCATCTTGGGGGCCTCCAGGGAGGGCGGCACTCTGAAAGACCCGGCACTGTGGAGGGACTGAGCACTCTGAAGGGGCGGGGCACTCTGGAGGGGGACACTCTGGGGGAAGGGCTGATCCTGGGGCAAAGTTGCCTGGGTAAGCCCCGAGGATGGCTTTTCCTCACGGGGTTGGGAGGAAGAGGGGTTCCTGACCTGCAGAGTCCGGGTCCCTGAGCAGTGCAGCACGCTCTGCTCCCCTCGACGCAGCTCTGCGGTGCTCATAGGACGCACCCTGGGGTCAGACAAGAAGGCGGATGGGTACGTTCTGATATCTTCTTTGGTCCCTGCCTCGCCCGGGTGCCTCCCACCCAACCTACACCCACCTGAGCACTACTTGAATGGGCGTTTCCGGCCCCTCTGGTCCCTGCTCCAGGCTCCGCGCGGGGTCTCTGTGGCAGCAGCGCGAGTTACCTTCTCTGCCCCTAGCGGCTGGCTGTCCGCTGGGCGTTCAGGAACCCCGCTGAACCTCTCTGAGGCGCTGCTTACCCATCGGGTGACCCGCGTTCCTCCTCCATGTCCTGCTCCGCACACGGAGTTAGCTCCGCCTGAGTCTCCTTTCTTTCCCTCCCCAGTACCCTCCCCTTCTCCACGACGCTGCGACTGTCTACACACACCTTCTCCTCCCACCCCCAATCCCCATCCCAGGCAGCCACCCATCCGGAAAGGCTCTGGCCTGCCCAGGGCTAGCTAGTTAAAGATTTACCCACCCCACTGCAGTGGTGGAGAAAGTCTCTCCCAAGCTAGGGGACCCCTAGCCAGGGGGGTTCCGGAGTCTGAGGATTCCTTGCTCTTGCCCAGTCCTATCAGGAGGGACCGACCCATGGGACTTGTACCCAGTTGAGGATACCTAAGCAGGGATGGGAAGAACTCGCCAAGACCACAGAGGTAGCCTGTGGAGAGCAAGGACCAGGCGCTTTCAACTCTCTCCACATAGCCTCACCCTCCGGTTTCATAGTCTCCTCCCACCCCAGCAGCTGGGTATCTTTTCAGCTCAGGGTCTAGGGAAGGAAGGAGACTCAACTCCAGGGAGGGGCTGAGGCCTCAGCTCTGGGGAAGACCTAGCTGGACTGAGTTTCTGAGCTGAGCTGAGAACACGTTTCCAAGCATCTGGTTAAACATTGGGGCACCTGCTGTCTCTAATCCCAAGGTTAATACAAGGCCCAACACAGTTGTTTAACCCTGTCCTGGTCTAACTGCAAGTGTGTTGGGTTGGAGCTATTCCTCATTCTGTGCCAGACTCCTGGCTGGGCACCTGGGCAGAGGAATCACATACGGACCAGCCGCTTCCCAGCTCACAGTCTGGCTGGGGAGAGGGCTAAGTACAATCCAGTATGTAGGGCCTTTGAAGGGAGTGCAGAGCCCTGTAGGAGCCAGGGAGGCAAGGAAGTGAAGGTGGTAGGTAAGGGTGTTGCAAGTAGAAGAAACACGGTGCAGGAAGGCTGGGGTGGGATGGGAGATGTGTGTGGCATAGGAGATGTGTTATGAGGCTGGACCCAGCTCATGGAAGGTATATGATAAGTCTGGACTCCTTAGAAAGCCGTGGAGCCACTGAAAAGTTACAAACAGGGACAGAACACCATCAGATTGTTATTATTATTGCTGTTCTGGCCATCTCTGTATGCTCTCTGAATATTTTTGCAAACTCCTGAAGCACACATTAGGGCAAAATCCCTAAAAATCATCCCCTTTCAATGTAACCCACTTTATACCACCACAAATGACAGCCAACTGTCAAAGCCACACTGCTGGGGAATAGGCTATTTTGAGAGGGAGTGAGCTCCTCATGCACTGGAGGTATGCAAGAAAGAGCCAATTGACCTTTTGAATATAGGACTTTCTACCTGGATTTACAGGGAGAGTTCTATACAGCAAAGACCATTCATTGCCCCCAGATCTGCCCCTAACTTCCCACAGAGCCTTGGTCTTTCTTAACCTGGCTTCTCTCTGTAAAAAGGGATTCATGATCCATCTCCTATTTTACATGGTTGTTCTGAGACTTCAGTGGGACAGATAATTGAAAGTGATTCATAAGTTGTAAATAACTACCTAAAAGCAAAAATAAAAATTCCTAGACGATCGCTAAGATCTCTTTCAATTCTGAAGTTCCTTAATCTATTATAGTTTTGAATCATTGAGGTGGATAGGAAAAGCGTTACCATCCCTGATTTTCAAATTAAAAAACAGGAAAACAGAGGTAAGCAGGGAGGTTATCTAAGGCAAAAAGCAGCTATAAATGGCAAAACTGAGATTTAAAACCCAGAACTAAGAGCCTTAAGTCCTAATGCTGTCTGTTAGGGCAGGTTTCTTTTTTCAGTTGTAAACCCAGTAAATGCACAGGTTGCTCCTTTAAATGCCCTTAAAAATGTTAAGGACCATCAGTCATTTGCATCTGAGAGTTCATTGGTTTAATCACATTGCTGTCCCTGCTCAAGCTGGACTGAGATGAGCCACATTGAAGGGATTTTTATATGTGAATGTTGAGGATGAGGTGAGTTGGGTGGTGGGGACTTGTTCACTGGCCTTCCCAACCTGGATCAGAATGTGGACATCCTCGGATGTCCACAGGCAAGCAAAGTCCTTGTCCTGTTCTCAGTGAGTGCAAACACCTGCTATGCTTAAACTGAGCATCCCCGAGCAATTTTTTATTAAGTCTTCTCTGGGTGCCAGGCTTCTAGGCACTTTTGTTCACATTAGTGAACAAAACAGATAAGAATCTAAAATATCCCTGTCCTTGTAGAGCTCACCTCTAGAGAAGTGGGAGAGGCAGACAAGAAACATGAGCATACAAATAATCACAGCTGTTAAAAGCTGAGAAGTGCTATGAAGAGAAAAATCAGTCTGGATCGGGGTCGGGATTGAGAGTGCTGGAGATGGGGAAATGTGGTTTAAATAATGTGATCATGAATACCTTAAAAAGGTATCATCTGAGGAAAAACTTCAAGGAAGAGAGTGAGTTAGCCAAACAGATATTTAGGGGAAGATCATCGTATGCAGAAGAAATATCTCGTGCGAAGGTCCTGATATGAAGCAGGACCAGTGTGTTCAAGAAATGGAAGAAGGCCGGGGTTATCGGGACCTGATCACTGCGACCTTAGAGACCCCTTTAAGGTCTTTGATTTTTCCTCTGGATTGATGATAAAGGTAATGGAAAGTGGTCAGATTTTTGGATCTATTTTCACTACAGCATCACAACACTTATTGAAATATTGAATGAAGCATGTGGGGGAAAAAAAAAGATAAATATAAAGAACCAGCTAGGATATCTTAAACTGCTGAAAACCCCAGCCAAGAAAAATACTGGAAAAACAGCCACAGAGGAAAAAGAAAAAAGACACAACATTCAAAGCAGCACTAATAAGGCTAACGGCTACTTTTGAATAGAATTTTGGCCACTAACAAACAATGTTATGACATCTTTAAAGTGCTGATAGTTACAAAGAAACCTAGAAAAGTATTTTTCAGGAATGCAGGTAGAATAGACACTTTGAACAAACAAAAGCTGAAATAATTCACCTTCAGTTGGTTACCACTATGAGAAATTCTAAAGGGAAATTTTTTAATGTTGAATGAAAGTGACTCTATATGGAAACATAAAGCCACGGGAAGGAGTAAAGAACACCAGAAAGAATAAATACAGGGTGTGTATAAAATCATGTTGACTGTTTAAGAGAAAGTAATACTAATTTCTAGCTGCAACTCTACATGAAGTAAACATACATGACGCTAGTATAAAAAATAGGAGTGGTGAATGGGGTTAAGCTGTGGAATTGTAGAAGTGGTTCTTCGGTTGTTTGGGAAATGATAAAAGTACTAATTTAAAGTAGACTGTGATAGGTCAAGGATGTATAGTGACATCTTCAAGGTAACTGCTATAAAAATAAAAGAATTGCAACTAAGAAGGCAATGGGGATGGCGCCTGTGGCTCAAAGGAGTAGGGCGCTAACCCCCTATGCTGGAGGTGGCAGGTTCAAACCCAGCCCTGGCCAAAACTGCAAAAAACCCCAAAACAAACAAAGAAGGCAATGGTAGAAAAAGATGAATTAAAACAGCTAGATTGATTAAAATGAGAAATAAGGCACAAGGAAAAAAACAGAACAAATAGGAAATAACAAGGTATGATTCAAAGCAATTAAATCAATAAGTATATTAATGATACATGGGCTAAGTATTCCAAATACACTACAAAGATTGTCAGACTAGATACAAAAAATATTACTCTGTATAAAAAAATAAAAACTCACTTCAAATTAAAGAAAAGAAATAATTGAAAGTAAAAGAATAGAAAAAGTTATACCATATGGAAACCCTAACCACAAAAAAAAAAAAAAAGTGATGTAACTATGTTAAAATTAGGGCTCTAAGTCAAGATGTATCAATGAAGAAGAGAAGCATGTGATTATGTGATTCAATAGGAAGACATAATAATCTTCAGTTGTATTCACTGAATAAAAGAACTAGAAAGAAACAGACAAATCCTTTATCACAGAAGGTCATCTTAACACAACTCTTCTGGGAACTAACAGAACAACAGGTAAAAATCCAGTAAGAATATAGATTTGAACAACATTGCTACCCACTTTGATCTCAATGACAAATACAGAGTACCAAACCCAAGAACTGCAAAATACACATTCTCTTCAACTTAACACAAGACATTTTCCAAAAGAGATGCTGGGCTGTAAAGCCAGCCTTAACAGTTTCAAGTGATTGAAATCAGATCGCATCTGTTCTCTGACCACGGAGGAAATAACCTAGAATTAGTAAAGGAAACGTAAATTAAAAGTCCCTCAAATAATTGGAAATCAGTCAAAAACACTTTAAAATGACCTTTGGATCAAAGAAGAAATAACAATGGCGTTTGGAAAATATTTTGAAATTAACCAGAATATATGTAGCAGAAGCCAATAAAAGAAATAGCTGATGTACAGTAGAAAACATTAACAAAGCCAAAAGTTGTTTCTTTGATGAGATCAATAACCTATATAAACATTTAATAAATGAATAAAGAAAATAAAAGAATATGCAAATTACCAATATAGAAAATAAAAAGACTTTACTGTATAGATCCTATAGACCAGCGGTTCTCAACCTGTGGGTAGCGACCCCTAAGACCATCAGAAAACACATCCTGCATATCAGATATTTATGTTATGATTCATAACAGTATATTTTAGTATGGATAATAGAAAAGAATAGAATATCCCAATAGTTTTTTATTTGTTAAACACACTGAAGGTATAATTTAAAATCCCTCTGCAAAGAAAATTCTTGGCTTAGATCTGGCTTCCCTGGTGAATCTTCCAAACATTTAAGGAAGTAGTAATATCAATCTTAGACAAATTTTCAGCAATAGAACCAGAGTGACCATTTATTTCCAAGTTCATTTTTTAAAAAAATAAGGCCAGCTTAACCTGATATCTAATCCTTACAGTGACATTATAAGAAAAGAAAATCACAGTCTATCTCTCATGAATGTGAATGTTCAGATCCCAAATAATCACTAGTCAATCAAACCCAGCAATATATAAAATGCA